TGAGACTCCCTCCCAACCTACCTCTTTCATTGTTTCTCCCTGGCGCACCCCTACATCCACCATCCTTCCTCAGTGTCTACCACTCAGGATTGTCACCCTCCTCTCATCTCCATGGGGGTGCCCTGACCCAACAGTGATTGTAGGCACCAGGGCTAAGCAGGACCCCACTTACCCCACTCAACCCTGATTGAAGCATAGTCGGACGAGCCCTGTTGCACTGGTACCTCGGGCTAAGCAGAACCCTACTAAGTGTTCGTTGTATGTACCACTGTTGTTGTAATTGCGACCTAGAGGTTCTAGCTTATTATCAGTAGATGTATGACCCCCTATCCGCCCCTCTACCTACAAACATCCCCATACACCCCTCTCTAGTCGCATTATTATCGTGGACTCGTGGTACCATTGTTATTCTGATCATTGTTGGTTATATGATATTTGTCAATGTGGGAAGCAGGCTATCTCTCCATTATCTATCCCAAAGAGAGCCCCTTTTGCGAGATCCCCCTAGAGTCCTCATCCCAAACAACACTGGTCTCAGTCATTGGTATGTACAAGCCCCCCCAACCGTTCCTCTTACCTCTATCCTCGATTGGGCTTATGCCGATGTATCCCCTAGGGAGGCCCTACCTCGGGACTCTCCTACCTAATTATCAATCATTCAGTCGAGAAAGCAATCACACAATTAAGCAATCATTCAGTCTAACTCCAGATGAGTCAGTGGAAGTCTGATGGAGCAGTCTGGCAAAGTCACGGTTTTTTTGGACAGTTGTGCATGATAGCGGACACGAGCACACACGTGCGCACACTCACACATGCACACACATGCGACCATGGCTTTTTTTTGGGATGGGAATATATGTTCGGAGTTTTGGCCACAGTATCTTCGCAAGGAGGCTCAAAGAGTGTTTGTTGTGGGTGTTATTCCCATGGGTTGCTCTTTCGGAGCACATGGAAGATAGGGTAGCTTCTAGGGTGTTTTAAGAAGTTCTGAAGTAGCACTCCTGGTGTCGCGTGAAGATTTTTTGGAGTTTGAGGCTAGATAGTAAATGGAGGATGTCTACCCATGGATTGATAGAGGTGTTGGTGACGTGAGTGCGTCGTTCGCGATGAATAGCAGTGTGAGTGCTGTTGTGCTTGTGTAATTAATTTTGTGGTTTTTTTTATCGACTCGGAGGGCTCTCCAAGTTTTTTCGGACCGCAGGTGGATAGGATCGGTGCTTTGTTGCTGGTGGAGCCTTCCATGCTAGGTATTTTGCCTTTTGCCCTCCATCCCTTTATGGACTATAAAATATATGCATATATATCGTCAAACAAAGCTTTCCGGTAAACCGTGGGCAGAGAGGGAGAAGAGGACAACAAACGAGGGGATGTGACAAACTGTTTTGTCGGAGTTTCACCGACTCATCAGGAGGCTGAACCCTCGACAGTCTGCAAAATCTCCTAACTGATTACACAGTAAGTGATAATCCACCTTAACCCCGGTTGTGGTTAAGCGTCAACGACTGCCCGACAACTGATACCCTGAGGTGGGCACCAACCAATTCCCTCAACGTGCCTGTGACAAAAATCAAAGCAGACTATCAATCACTCACCTACAAGAGCTGAAACTGGGGGCCCAGGTTGACCATGTGTTGGTACACCAGATGGAGAACTCTACAGACTGTCGGTTCACACCCCATCACAAGCCAGCAAAACACCCACGAAACAAAGAAAAGTCTGTCACAGCCAACAAATACACTCGAGACACGCCGCTGGCACTAGAGGCACAGCATGGCCGCGTAGCAACGACCCCGACCATTGTCGCTCAACCTGACCAGAGAAAACCGTAGCAGGGTGCTAGCGAAGTCGTGGTATCAAGGTATATATCATCAAACAGCGCTGTCAGGTATATGTGCAAGTGTGGTACTTTGGTGGCAGACCCAAAAGTTAACTCGTATCCATTGATAATTTGGATGTGTTGTGTGTGAGAAGACAGCAGTGCGGAGACTTCTACGAAACGGGGACAGGTCCCACAAAGAAACCTACTCGGAGTTCTACTGTTACATACTCGTGAATAATTCAACGAGTATGGGGCAGAACCAAAGATCAACCAATATAGGATGGGCATGTATGCAGCGGAAGTCTGAATAATGGACTAACTCACATAGACTGACTCACATAGATATCACTCCACACACAAACAATCGTGAGATGGTGGGGTATGAGCCAATCACAGACGATGCTCAGGCCCCGTACAAACATACACAGATGAGAGGTGGGAGGAGAGACGAAGGAGATGGGAGATGTACGGAGCACCAGATGTCACCGAGATAGAATTCAATAGGTCACCGATATGGTAGTCCAAAATTTCGTTGAACAAGATCAAAATGTTGTGGACAATAAGTCACCAATGTCGGAGATACAGAGTCCTAATGTAACCGGTGTCCAATCTGTGATGCCGCCGAGTATCAACCCCAACAATCTCCAAGTCTCGAATTCGGTAAGTACCACAGCCTCTTACCACCGAAGTCCAACACTGATCTCTATCCAACTCGTATCAAGTCTCCAGTCTGAAGAAGAAGAAGATGGAGTCTGAAGAAGAAGAAGAAGAAGAAGAAGAAGAAGTTTGAAGAAGAAGAAGAAGAAGTCTGAAAAAGGAGGAAGAGGTGAGGAGGAGAAAGTAGGGGCTGTGGAGGGAGGAGAAGACCCCCTCGCCTCCTTGTACCTGGCCGTGCTGCAGTCCGACTGCAGGTCGCGGTTATGGTCGCCGTACTGCTGAGGGCTGCTGCCTAGCTCCTTGCTCGCCGCTGCTGCTGCTGCTCCGCTCCTGCGCTAAGAATAGCGCTCTGCTTCAACCGATACGGAGAGGCGTTGATACAGCATGCCAGTGGCTCAATGCCTCAGAATGAGGCTGAACCGGTGTGAAGTACCGGTGGGGCCGAGGCCGGCCTCAATACTGCGAGGCCTGGCCGTGACTTGAACCGTCAAGATCGATGGTTCAGATCAGACCGGTGGGCGGCAGCCTCAAAAGCGCCGCCAGGCCCAAACGGTAATGTCGTTTGGGCCTGACCGTCGGGTCTGGTCCAAGACTGTGGCCTTTACGGCCTGTTGTACCCCAAGTCCGGGCCTTTAGGCCCTGCTGTGTCCCTCTGGCCCTAAGTCGGGTCCGGTAGGACCCGTGTGGCGTCGAAGATGTAACACACTCCCCCTCTTAAAAGACCGAGCTACCCTCGAGGGCGTAGTTGTCTGTCCGATACCGGAAGGGTCCGGCGGGACGAGTTGCTTCCTTTGCAAGGCGTCGCTTCTCATAGTCGGCGAAGATAAGGGGTGCAGAAGTCTGCAAATCTGCACTAGAGATCCACCGAGTGTCGTCAGGCGCACGTTGCTTGAATGTGACTTTGAACTCCATTGGCTTGTTGCCATACTTGCGGTGCGTGATGACTCAGTCCACTTCCTGATGTTCGTCCATAGATGGCGGATCCTGTGATCGTCGGTCGGGAAACTCGTCAGCGGAAGGTGGCGTGTAGATGGCCAGCTTTGACGCGTGGAAGTCCTGATGCACAAGAAGGTGCGGAGGAATATTGACCACAAAGGAAGGACCTGCGGGGTCGTTTCCAACGGCAAAAGTAACTTCCCATTGTCCGAACCATTTCGGAAGGAGTTTGCGCGAAACGTCCTGCTCGAGCTCAAATTCCTCAGAGAGGACCCAAACAAGGTCTCCCTCGCGGAAAGGACATGGAAGTGGACGTCGGTTAGCTTGCTGCTGCATGCGGATTTGAGCCTTTTGCATATTCGCGCGGGCTTTGATCAGCAAGTCCCGGTACTTCCTGAACGGAAGCGGGAGAGCAAGGGACGTCTATGTCGACGGCCTGTGGCAGAAGGAGATCAGCGAAGATCCGTGCTTTCTCTCCACCATGATGTACCTCGAATGGTGTGACGCAGATCGCCGGGTGCACCGAAGTGTTAGAGGCGATCTTAATGTCGGGAAGCCGGTCAACCCAATCTTTCAGGTCGGGACGGATGAGCGTACGCAACATCATCTGAGCAGTCTGGTGTGCTCGCTCCGTCTGGCCATCCGTCTGCGGGTGTCGAGCCGAGCTCGGCTTCATTGCCATGCCCGACTCAACCATAAGGGAAGTCCGAAAGGCCGACATGAAGCGAGTATGTCTTCCGGAAAACCCTGGTTGGTAATCCAACCGGTGTGCAAGAGTCGTGCGAGCTCAGGTGTTGCAGCATGATACTTGCAAGAAAGAACCGAGCATACTTGCTCACACAGTCAACGACCGTGAGAATACCGTCATGGCCGAGGCGATCGCGAGGGAACGGGCCTGTCACGTCCATAGCAATGGAGAGGCGCGATGCCCGAGGAATCGGCAACGGTTTCAGTTCGTGGGACTCGAGATCGACCCTTGTTACGGTGGCAAACTGCACATGACTCAATGTACCTCGTGACGTCATGAAGGACGTCGGGCCAGTGAAAACGCTGGCGGAGGCGTGCCAATGTGCGGTTTACGCCAAGGTGTGCCGAAAGTCGTGCGTCGTGCAATTCGCCGAGAAGAAGAGTCCGTAAGATGCGATCTTGGGGCACAACTAACAGGTCCTTTCCTCTCGTGTGAAGGAGAAGGAATCCGTCGGAAATCCGATAATGGCTAGCCGGCGGGTGATCCGATGAAAGCTCCGCGTAGAGTGTGGAGTAAGTCGGATCGGACTTGTAGCCTTTGACGAAATGCGGCTGCAGATCGCCAACACCGCACCAATACCATATCTCGAAGCGTCCGTAGTCACTTGGGTGGGAAGGGTGGGGTCGTATATACGGAGGGCACGTGCTGCTTGCATCGCTGCCTTCAACGTAGTGAACGCGCCACGGGCTGCGTCGTCGAACTCGAAGGGCACCTTCGGGGACTGAAGTCTCGACAAAGGAGYGGCCACTTTCGAGTATGACTCGACTAATCGCTTATAATATCCAGCCAAACCCATGAAAGAGCGTACGTATGTCGTGCAACGGGGTTCCGGCCAATCCACGATGGCTTGGATCTTGTCCGCTAAGGGACGAACGCATTTCGGCGTGACATAATGACCCAAGTACTCAAGCTCCTACTTGGCGAACTCGCACTTGTCGAGGTTCACTTTGTACTTGGCCAGTCGCAAACGATCCAAAACAGCGCGAAGGTGTACGATGTGCTCGTCCAACGTCCTACTATAAACCAAGATGTCATCGATGTAGATGAGGACACTGCGATCGAGCAAGTCGCGAAACTCAGTCGTCATAGCTGCTTGGAAAGTCGCGGGGTAATTGGTGAGACCAAATGGCATGACAACCCACGCGGTTTTGCACCGATCTTGAGGCTGGATTTCAATTTGGTGGTAACCCGACTTCAAGTCCAACTTCGAGAAGTACGTCGCACCGCCTATTCGCTCGAGGAGATCATCAATCCGAGGGAGAGGGCCGACGTTCTTTACGGTTTGTGCGTTAAGTCTGCGATAATCGATGCATAACCGTAGATTTTTGTTCTTCTTCCGGACGAAGAGAACAAGGGCACCGTAAGGCGAACAACTAGGGCGAATCCAGCCCTTGTCGAGAAGGTCATTGAGTTGTGCGCGAAGCACCTCGAGTTCCTCTTCGCTCATGCGGTAGAGCCATCCATGCGGAGGGACGGCACCAGCCTCGAGAGTGATCCTGTGACGTATGGGCCGGTCCGGAACCGTTCCGGTGGGAGCCTCGAAGACATCTCTATACTCGTCCAAGAGGTGAAAAATGCGTGGGTCCGGCGGTGATGCGGCTGGTCCGTCCGGCGAGGGGAGAGCATGCAAAAATACAACGTCCATCTCCTCGACGTCATTCCGAGCTATGGCGTCGCGAATTCTCGCAACGGAAACCACGTGGCAAGCAATCGAAGTGTGAGGGGTCGCGACCGTACATAAGACTAACACTCCGTTCCGATCACGAATGTGAACGGTCCGGTCATGGAAGTTCACCGGATGATCGGCGCTACGCAACCAAAACATGCCTAGAATCATGTCGAACTTGGTGTCGAGGATGTCAAAAGACACCGGCTCGCACGCAAGTGGCGCAAAGTATACCGGAACGCCGTCGACGCATCGGTCAATTGACTTTTGCGTGCGGCCGTCCGCGAGTGTAACTTGCGTAGGTTGCGTCTTCCTTCGAACGCGCGGGCCAAGGCCTGCGCGGGCAATAAAGGCTTGGCTCATAAAGTTGCGAGACGCTCCGGAATCAATCAAGGCACTACAGGTTGCCTTTCCGATTTGAATGCGGATATAGAGCAAAGGAGCGTTGGTTTCGGCGTACCTTTGGGTGGCGTACTCGCGGTCAATCTTCGCAAGATAGGAGCGGAGATCGACAACTGCTACCTCGTCGTCCGTCAACGGAGCTGGTACTGTTTTGTGCAAATAGGAGCATAGATTTGCCATCAAGGCGTTGCAATGCGGCCTTGGCAAGGTTCCGGTTGAGGGTAGAGGCATCTAAGCGAAGTCCTCTCTCGTGAGCGGGTCAAGCTCCTCAAGTCTTGACCACGCCGTCGAGTCCTCGGAAATCAGTGGCGAGCTGACCGGATCACTTGCCAACGGTGTACAGGCTGCGCATACGCAATCTAAGTGCACGTGGCTCAGCTGGTCTAATGGTGGTACCAGCTGGGCGGCATAATCCTCATACGTAGCACGAGAATCAGCAACTAATGCATGCTCCCCGGCAGTGACATCGATTGCTAGCAAGGCAACCGGTTCCGGCGGAGTGAGGAGAGATGTCGCCTCTCTCCTTGCGCAACTTAGTTTCCCGAGTTCGTTGGACGGGGTACGCGTGCCTTGCCCTTTTCGGGGCATTGTGCGGTCAAGTGAGTGACCCCATTGGACCAAAGGCAATATCCGTACCGTTGACGAAGGTCATATACTTCCTTGGTTATCTTGTATGTCGTCCATGGTTGCTGTCGAGTTCCCGTCAATGTCGTCGCTTGTACCGCCTTGTTCTTCCGAACTCTCTTGGGAAGCTTCGGCGGGAGCGCTGCGACAGTTCCTCCATCACTCAAGGATGCTGCTGCAGCGTGGAAATCTACTGATTCTTCAAAAATCACGGCATTGTTATGTGTCGGTCGTTGATAGCCCTGCTTAGCCACATAGTGCGGCTGGGACTGCTTTTCGTTGGAGGCCTTGTCGTCCGTTTGGATGACCAGGTTTGCACGATCCAGAATAGCCTGGAATGAGGCATAATCGTACTCGTTGCCGAGTGCGGTTCGCAGTCCTGCGCATGATCGCGAGAAGAACTCGGATCGTTGGTTTGTAAAGCTCAAATCGAAACCTGGCATGGTCACTATCTTCTGCCACTTGATCGTCCAGTCTCGAGTTGGCATGCTTCCCTGTGAGCAAGTGTAGACCTCGTTCATGGACGCCTTCACAACGTTGCGGACCATGAATCGAGTGAACCACATTTGTTCAAAATCCTCCCACTTGAGGTGTTTGTGTAACTCGGCGATAGTGATTCCCTTGTTAACTGCGAGGTGGTTCATCCACGCCTGCGCACCTCCAATGAGTTGGAGGTATAGTGCCTTCATCATGTCTTCGTCTGGGACCTTGTGGCACGACGCTTCGGTGAGGAAGGTTTGCTACCATGTCAAAGCGTCGGTCTTGTTGTAGTCCTCAAACTTGCCGATGTTGAAGCGTGGCATCTTCTATACCTTCGCAGCTGCTGCCGGTTGCGACTGCAATTTGGTGATGTCCGTCTTGATGGCGGCCACCGTGCTGCTGATCGTGGCCGGACTAGTGAAATCCCCTAGTTCGCCGATTACACCGACGACATGGTCGATGCGCTCGTTGAGCTGTTTCGCTGTGTCGGTCGTGCAGCCTGGCGCTGCTGAGGCTTTAGCCTCAATGCTGTTGATGCGTACGAGAGCGGAGTTCAACAGCTGATGTTGTTGCTGCTGCTGTGTTGCTGCGGTGCGGACGACAACTGTTAAAGCGACAGTGTCTTGCTGCTGCTTCTGTCTGTGTTGTCGTTCCGTGAGCAGGTGTGCCTGCAGCAATTTGTTGTTCCACATTACGGCCCTCATCACGCTCAACATCAAGTTAGCCAGGTTACTTCTCTCTGCCTCCGACGGTGTTGGGTCCGCCTGCGCGTCCGTAGGCACAAAGAACATGCCTTGGAGTAGCGTTGTCCACTGATTCTCACTTTGAATCAGGGACTCCGTGCTGGCGGCATTCCGTCTGTCTCGTGCCGCTGCGTCAGCCTCAGCAGTCCGCTGAGTTTGGGCTGCCGCCTCATTGGCCAGCCGCTGACGTTCTGCCTCTGCTGCCTCCTGATGTGCCTTAGTGGTGGCTACGGCATCCGTAAATGCCTGTAGCCGCTGAAGATAAACAGACAACGGCTCACTGGCCCCTTGGACCGGACATGCAGGAAAAGCCCCGGTGGTAACTGGTACTGCCGTAGCTGTACTTGATGCCGCTGAAGTCGTCCGCCTGCTGAGTCGCTGTTGCTGATACTTAAACCCTGGAGGTACCACAGAACGGCTACGAACTGCGAGCCTGGCACTGCGTCGTGGCAGTGCCCCGGTGTCCTGTTCCGTCGACATCAGCACAAGCTGATGTGGCATTTTAGAAGTCCCGGTGGTCACAGATTACGGGGAGGGTAGGGAGAGTGGGAACAGGGGTAGAACAATCAAACAATTCGCATACAGTCCCTGTCCCAATGATGGACTTAGACACCTAATCAAAAATAGGAAAACGATAAACTTCCCCGAAAACAACTCAAAAATTCGAAATAAGTAAATAATAACGAATTAATAATCAATAAGCTAGGCTACCAGCCGGGCCGCCCGGGTCCCGGGTGGCCAGCCCGTGCAAGGATCAGGTAAGGTCCTA